CCCCCCCCCCCCCCCCAACTCACTTAGCACCGGTGAACCATTTGGATGTTCAGTTTTTACCCCATCCTAGCTTTTTGCACGAGATAATCATCTCTCCTACCCCGGAGCTCCTCTCCTTACTTTTACAAGGGAAGGAATCCATCTCTGCGACCTCTATGCACTCTGCTACCGGTGTCAGAGACGCAGAGCACAAAAGGGCGCTGGCACCCCCAAGTACATTTTCACCTCGTTTTTTCACTTTATTGCATCCATAGAAGTGTTTTTCCACGAAGATATGTATAGAATACCTGTCATACCGCGAAACAGTTCTTTGAGAGTTTCTCCTTTCCTCTTGTCCACTTCATCAAAATCAATGTCTTCTGAAAGCAGAAATGGCTCACACTATTCATCTCATTGCGATTTTAACCACGACAATGTTCAATTGTGCTGAGTATAATCAAAACTGTATCTAACTTGCACACTGAGCCTACATTCCTACGACAACATCATTACAATGCGCAGACCAACAGCCGCAATGCTCTCGCTCTTACCAACATGCACCGAGTATTACTGTGACTGTGTCACAGACTTCATTGTGACCCCTTATAAGTAAAAATCAAAGAAATTTTTTAAGAACGAGCCATGAAGTAGAGCTTCATAGTTTTTCTTGCAGTCTTTTCAAATGGTATTTGAGATCTTAATGTTTTTAATTCTGGGTGTTGAGTGCGGTTCTTAGTCAAAGTCAAAATCGCCTCGCATTGACTGTGGACTCAGCTCACGTTTGTGAGGGGACGACGCTCGTGGAGGTTACGGAATAAGTACATACTATTAACTAAATTCTGTACTTCGATGCAGTTTTAGGCAGTAACTGACCAAGCTCTGTACTTCAATAGAATCGCAGTTTTAAACAGTAATTGGCCAGGCTGAAGATTTTTCAAATGTCGTTAATCGCTTTCACTTATGCTTTGCACTGCCATAAGAGGTACACGAAGGCCAACAAACTCGCAATCCGATTATTCTTGATTAATTTCTCTGAGCACCGATTATGAAGAGCCAATTAATGAGGATCTCGACTAAGGAAGAGTGAGCTCGGCACGAGTGCGCAATGAAGAATTCACTTCTCATATTTATCCTACTGTATATCATTCGCTAAGTGTGTGTGTGTGTGTGTGTGTGTGTGTGTGTGTGTGTG